TTCTAAGGATGTGCAAAAACCATGTTACACACAAATGAGGGAGAGATACTGGAATGTGGGTGATTTGCCCAAAATGTTGGATAGCAGTTTGACAGAAGGGCTTAAGTTGCAAAGTCAGATAACAAAATGCCCATAATTTGGAGAATCTGGCTCAGACAAGATTTCTGAGCAATTCTGTGAAGGATAGAAAGCAACATGCACCAAATATACAACAAAAACTTCAGGGAAAAATTACAGCTAACATAACGGGGTTAGTCCAAATAATAAAAAGCTTTATAAGTAAGATAGAAATAAAATAATTTTTAAAAATAAAAAAAACATGTAAGGACAACTATAACATATAGAGAAGCTAGTTATCAAAAGCATATAAACAAAAAAATTAAGGTCTCATTTTTTCTTCTATCAGGCATACATATAAAAGATAGCCAATAGCCAGCATTAAGGATATTGCTGAGAAATACGTTCTTCATACATCACCAAAGAGAGGGTACTTTGGTATAATTTTTCTGAAAGAATGTATACAATCAATGATCACAATATAAAAACCACTTCTGCTTTCTTCTCATTTTCCTTGGATACTCTGAATTCTGACACATGATATATGAATATGTCTTTCTCACACATGAGGTGTTGATGTGGAAAATAACTTAAATGGAAAACTGCAACCTTGCTCTGAAAGCAGTATATGACATCACTACTCTACATTCCCTCAACCAAAATCAGTCATTTTAGAATAAATTTCACACAGAAAGAGGAATTGTCAGACAATATTATGCATGCTTCCATTTATGTGTATTGGACTTACTTTTTTCAACTTCTGGTTTCAGTCGTTTATTTTTGATGAGTATTTTTCTTTTGAGGTCATTGGGAGAGGGCAAGGGCCTGCCTGGCTCGAGCTAGAGATATAGAGAAAGACACAGAATTAGTTATGGGTTGTGCTCTTTTTTCCATTCTCATTCCCAGCACAGAATATGCCAGGAGCTGGAGTCATACAGTCTAACTCCACTAGATGGCAGTCAGCAACATATTTTTACATTTTCATTCCCCAACCAAATTAGCCCACTGAATCAACTTTGCTTTGGAGGACACTGGGAATCAGCTGCAGAGTCTATAGGTATGGATGGTCCAGCTACCCCAGTGAAATGGTCTGACCTTGCTGTTGTTTGGAGAGGTCCTGATCCACTTGAGGCCTTGCACGTTTAGTCTCTGGCAAAGTACAGGGATCATTATGACCTGTGGGGCCAAACTGATCACCAGGTAAGAGGCCCCTCCCCAACCTCGTGCCCCCCTCCCCTGCCGTCTCCCTCCCTCCACCTCACACCACCCCCTGCCAATAAGTGTCATGCTGTAGATTAAGACTATTAGCTCAATAGGCTATTCAACTGAACACTTGGGAATGTGGCAAGATGGGTTCACATAGAAAATAAAGGAGTGGTCTTAATTACTGGAATCCAAACTTAACTATGACTTTATTTGCTTGTATTTATATCTGCAAAGGAGATGTCCTTTTTAGACTTCTGATTTAATAAACATTCTCATATCTTATCCTCCCCGCCCAAATCTACACCTATTCATTTATACCTTTAACTATCTGTTCTTCCATATGTCCATTAATTTTCCTTTTTTTCTGACAGTACTGAGGTTTGAGCTCAGGGTCTCATGTTTGCTAGGCAGGTGCTCTACAACTTGAGCACTCTGCCGCCCTGTTTTTGTGCGGATATTTCCAAGATAGCGTCTTGCAAACTAATTGCCCAGGATGGGCTTTGAACTGTGAGCCTCCTGATCTCTGCCACCTGAGTAGTTAGGATAAGAGGCGTGAGTCACCAGCATCTGGCACATTCATTTTCAAACCCTGTTTTTATCCTACTTATAACATGCAAGCCCATGCATTCCTGTATCTGTCTTGACCAAAGGGAAACCCTTTGCTGAAATGCTGCTTCCTACAGGCAGCCTAGTGAAACTGGTCTATTCCCCACGCATCTCTCATGCACTGGACTCCTCCAACAAATATTCAACACATTAGAAGACTGTCTTCTTTATTAATTAAATGTTTACTTTTGTGTCCCATTCCCACCCCTTTCAAGATGAAAGTTCTTTAGTAAGAGAGCAGGTCTTACTCCCAGTTATACTACCTATGATTCCCATAGCTTCTTATACATAGGTACACATCACTTCAATAACAATACGTGGCTCTTTTCACAAAAGCAAATCTTACCCCATGAAAAAGGTAAAGGGCCCATGTAAAAAAATGATAATAATAAAATTAAGTTTAAAGATGTTTCTTAGTTTGGGTTTCCCTCAGAACAGCTTCTGAGACAAGGATTATGCCCCAGTAGACTCCAACAGAATGGGAAATGCGAAAAAGAAGACAGGTATCAACACAAGGTGTGTTATCAAGCAAGTTATCACTGTGAGCAACTAGGGCTCGATCCTGCTAGGGAGCCTTGGGAGACAGACAAGAACAGGTACTCAGAGTCAGCCCACCTTGGGAGTGATGGAGGATGGGATGGGAGTGTTAAGTTTCTGGCATTTCTGGTTTTTCTCTCTCATGTGGTCAGAGCAGGCTCCAATGACAAGAGCTCACTCTCAGGCTAAAAGGTGCAGTTGCTGACAGCCAAGAGTCAGGCCAATGCAGGGAAACAGGAAGTGTTGGGGGTAAATGGGCAGCACCTTCCATGATGCCTCAAATAGGATGAAGAGAATCAAGTAGGGGAGCAAAGGATGCAAACAGCCTGTCTCCCTAGATACACTGCTCGAAAAAATTCATGGTTAAACAACATAAAGTAATGCACAAGACACCTCCCTGCTGTCAGTTACTGTCATCACCCTCTACTACTGCCTCTTGCTGTCATGTTTGGATCCAGCAGGAACTATTTGTCAGTGGGGGGAGAAGTCAAATATCTCACTATCATAGAGCATTTTATACTTTAATTTCATTAACTGTCTTGCTTCTCATAACACCTTGTGATGGTGGATTTTAACCTCCTGGAGGTCATGAATCCTTATAAAATGTAATGAACTCTCTGGAATAGTTACATATTTAAAAACTATATGCAATTAGAATGAATTCAAAGACCCCATAAAGCCCATTTATGGGCACCAGGTTAATCATCTTTGGTTTATGAGGAAATGGCAGGTATAAAGTTAAAAAATGTACAGATAACATTGGCCAAGGATTTATTTTGGAGTTTGGAACTTGAACTTTCAGGATGCTGTGACATCAATTTGGTTACAGGCACTCATGGGTTCTGAAACCTGGGCAGCATATGTTCACCTAGAAGGCTTTTAAAATATACCATGTTGAGATGGGCATAGTGGCTCATGCCTGCAATCCTAGGTACTTGGGAGGCTGAGATCAGGAGGATGACTGAGGTTAGCCCAAACAGTTTGCAAGACCCCTCTCCAAAATAACTAGTTCAAAATGGACTGAAGTTGTGCTCAAGTGGCTGAGTGTCATCTTTGCAAGTTCAAAGCCTCGAGTTCAAACTTCAGTCCACCAAATGCACACACACACACCCACACACACCCACACCCCTCCCCACCCAGCCCCACACCCCCCCAGCGACCCAGCCCCACACACCCCCACCACCCAGCCCCACCCCCACCACCCCCCCACCTCCCCATACCCCACACCCCCCCACACCCACACCCACACCCACACATACACACCCCCCACACACTCACACACACCCACACACACACACTCTGGAGCTGGACTCAGCACCATTTCAATCCATTTGTGGGTTACTGAACTCACAGTTCCTTCATGTGATTTCACCATGTAACTAACGTTGAAAAAGACTACAGAACTTTAAGACTCTTGGCCTTGATGCTTTATGAAATTTAAAACATGAGACCTTAAGATGTTTTAAATTAAATTCAATCAGATGTTTATTTTATATCTCTCTCTACATCCCTCTGAAGCATGATAAAAGCTTTTTGTACCAAAGAATTTAAATAAATATGAAGATCTTTAGCATTAGTCCTCCAGTGCTACTTGACCCTTCAAAAATGAATTTCAAAACAAATCCATTCATGCTAGAAATATGGTTTGCTAAAAATACATACTGGATGTGATTCAAGTGCTTGTTTCAACAGGAGATCCCCAAATAGATCTTCGCAATATTTGGACATCTTGTACTGTTGATATTTGCTGGAGTGAAAGAAGCGGCATTTGTAAATTCAAACATCCATTAACCCCGAAAATAAGAAATACCTATTCCTAGGGAAGTAAAGACTATCAGTCTGGAAAATGAATGATTGCATATACTTATAAATACCATAAATGTTAACTGACTCAGTTTAAAAAGAAGTAAGCCCCCAAACTAAAAAACTGGCAAGAAAATTACAAAGATGTCTTTCAAGTTATTGCCTAATCTTTCAACTGAATGGAACTTTAAGCAAGGTATTCCAATCTTTGAGCTTTTGGTTAGAGCAAGCATTTCTAAGTCACATGAAGATGGATTTCTTGGAGAGGGGACTTGTATAAGAGTCTGTGTCCTTACTGGAGGATTATTTGCTGCTTAGCACTTCACCCAATAAACTACTCAGTTATTTAAAAAGGAGTAAAGCAGGAGTAAGGAATAAGGGTTAGGAAAAAAATCACTTAGGGACTTGCAGTAGAATAAATTATTATACCTGCAGTGATTTTCAAAGGAGAGAATTACAGGATATTCTGATGTGACAAATGCAGTTTCCTTGATGGCTTGGATTACATCCTTTGAAGATAAAGAATGTTAATGACAAAAAAAGAGCCAAAAATCTAGAGTACCTGGAACTATTCAGAGACTACTAATTGAGCACTTCAAAAAGTCAATTTCAGCAATTCAGACCTGAACTCATCTACCTTGATGCCTCTACAGGGTAAAGCCAGGGTGCAGTTAATGTTAGGCAATTTTTTTCCCTCAAATGTACCTTTTGCTTCTTGAGGATTATGGTGCTAACCAACTGATAAGAAATTTCACTGAAGTGGTCTGCCAGTTCCTTACTTAACAATCTGCCAAGCCAAGGACTCAGGTTCACTTTTTTTTTTTTGCAGCGGTACAGTTTTTACCCAGGGACTCATTCATGCTAGACAAGTGCTCTATCACTGAGCTACATTCCCATTCCTCGCCATTCTCTTTGATGAACAGGTAAGCTTTGGCACAACAATTTTCACAACAGACTGCTCTTCAACTGTTCTTGCCTCTAGAGAAATGTGTTGATGATATATTCATTTGAGGCTGTGAATGTAGCTTAGTGATAGAGTGCTTGCCTGGCATGTACAATCTCCAGCAATAACATTTGTTTGGAGCTTTTACAAACTTTCCTCTGTCTGGAAATCAAGTCTTGGGCTACATTTCATTAATTAGTGTTGATCCATGTATATTGATGTGTTATTTATAATACCCTTTGTTTCATGTTAGGCTAATGAAAAGGGGGTCTCTGTGGAAGGATTTTGCTTTGGTTAAGTAACATGTAAGGCAAAACAAGGGAAGGCTCTGAATTCCCATCTCATTTGAGATAACTACTGAATGACATGGCCACAATCCCCTCCCACTGTCTCTATGCAATAGGAGGGCCCTTATTGGAGATGGTTAGTCCAAGTCTCTGCCTAGCTTTGGGGTGGCGGGTGCTTTAAACCAGTACTACTATAATTACTATATTTGGTAAAAAGTCTCTAAGGTCTTACTGGTCTGTACCCAACAACAGGACAAGTTTCATCACTCAGTGAATCTGGAAAATATGTTATAATAGTTACCTAGGGAAGTCCATTTGAATTGATATTGCTCAGGGTTAGATAACTTTGGACTATTTTATTGTGGCATCCCTATGGCTAAGGTGACCATTTAATCATTTTTGCTTAAAATTTCTTCCCAGGTACAAATGTTTGGGACCTTGATTGTGCACTTGAGTTTTCCCTGGGGAAAACTTTAGCTTTGCCCATGGGTTCTTATTTGCTCAGTCTAACCTGAGAGGGAATGACCTTCTTTTCAGCTATGCATCCTTATTAGGCTACTTCATTCTCTAAAGAGGATACTACCCTTCTTGTCAGTTTGGTTGGATGTGCAAAATCATAGGCTTCCCACTTGAACATGCTCTTGATTTTTCTCTGGAAGCATAATCTTGAATCATTGCTGATCGAAATTCACTGACAATTTGACTAAGAAATCATATGCAAGGAGTGCTATGGCTATAGGACTTAGGTATCTTTGAGTTTTACATGCAGGCAGAGTTGAGAACCACTACTCCAAACGTTGTAATATCTAACTTGAGCTATATTAAAGCAAGAGACCGATGTGTCTGACATACTGGCCAACTACAGAATTTCCTTATTTTGATATCTCTTTTGGCAGGATACCCTGGGCATACAGAGGAATGCTCTAGAAAACCAGCCTTCAAATCATACATGGAGATGTCCGAAAGACTATTTTCAAGATGTCTCTTTATGGAACTTAGATTCCTCTTGATAAAGTTCCTTGAGAGAAAATTTCTCACCAGTCAGTTCAGGAATAGCTGTACTTCTTTCTCCTTTATGGATCCTGTGAATCACTTGTTTCTTCTTGTACTGAATTCTAGAAAGTGTGGATCGCAACTTATGGTATAACGTGAAAGTTCCTAAGATTTTTTGACAAGCATTCATAAACTTAACCTCATTATCAAATACTCTTTTTCTTATAGGCCCTATTTATGATCTACTTTTCTTTTCTGTACTTATCTGTTATGCCACCATAGCCCTTCAGGAATAACGTGACGTGAACAAGCAAAAATGTGGATAAGACAACCCCTCCCCCCATTTTTGTTTGCTTTATTTTGTTTTGAGCAAGGTCTTACTATGTTGCCCAGGCTGGCCTTGAACTCCTAGACTCAAGCAATCCTTCTGTGTACCCCACTGAGCTTAGCTTGAAAAGCTATTATTGGTAAGACTGGGTAGACTACTAGAGAAATCTGCTTATTTAACAATCACCATGAGAAAGCAGTAAAAATAGCACAAAAGAGACACTGAGTGAAGATGACATTGGTCTTGAATTTCAAAATGGGAAGAAATAAATAAGAAGGGACAATGCTGGAGGAAATGAATAAATGTTATCTTACCTCCAGCTCCATTTCCTACATTTTTTCAATAGTTTGGGAAAAGGTATCATTATGTAATTTTAAGATGTACCTTAAAAAGGATATCTGTACACATTGCTTTTCCATGTGTTATTATTGGTTCTTGATCTTCACCTTTTCCATCCCAACAGTCAAGTTCTACACACCTAGGAACATAGTGAAAGTACAATGTTGAACCCTTATAGTAAAACAATGTCTGTTACAGGGGGACTAGGAAGCAGTGAAGAAGTCTGGTAGAGATGAACCAAGTAGTAATACACATATGCATGGTAACAAAAGTAGGAATATCTCTGTATAACTACTTTATCTCAAACCAGCAAAAACACTGTTTTTCTTACTATCTCTTATGTTTTCTCTTCAACAAAATCGGAGAACAAGAGTGTGGAACAGGTTCTGCCCAGAAATGTGTGTGTACGGGGGGAGGGGCAGGTGGCCCAAATAATGTACACACAAGTAAGCAAATGTAAATACAATAAAATTAAATCAAAAGAAAAAAAAAGAGTAAGTTCCAAGGGGGGGAGAAAAAGAGTTACTTCTACTTTTGTGCACATTAATACTGCTCACCAAAAACTAGGCCTTATTTCATGCTTTTTATCCTGAATAATGCAGATTCTGGATTCATTTTTCCCATAACACTGTTCAACTTCTGCTAAACACAAGCCACCTTTCGACAAATCTAAAATTTTCACTTTGTCACTTAAATTACGCACGTTAGCTTGTACATTGCTGTAGGGTTACCATTTGCTTTTTGGAAAGCAAATTCTCTTGAAGTTAACAGGAAAACACTCAGCAGATCACATGATTTAAAACACAACTGGTGGAAACATGGGACCGACGAAGAGCTGCTCCTCATCAACTGAGCTGTGCAATGCATGTGTGGCAATTTAAAATTTTTGTTTTTGAAATTTATGTAATTAATTAATTTATTCACTTTTTACCATGGTTAGTCAAAACTACATGTAATAAATCTGTGAATAAGGAAGCTTACTGTAAAAATCTTCAGATCATACCTAGTATATTCCTATGAACTCACAAAATATGTTTAAATGTATATGAATTAATAAACATAATTTGTCTATTTTTCCTCAAGATGTGTTCTTTTTGCAAGGCCATAGGTTATTTTCTATGTTTCTCTTTGATGTTTTTGTTTTGTTTTTTTGGCGATACTGGGGTTTGAACTCAGGTTCTCACACTGCACTGTGAGCAGGCACTGCAACACTTGAGCCACATTCCCTACCCTCTCTTAACTTCATACAGTTACATTGTTTTCACTGAAGGATTGCCACACAAGTAGAATTAATTAACATAATTTTTTTCCTTAGCAAGTCTTACCCCGATTTTTCTTGGTTTCTCTCAAGATTTTGTCCACATACAAATCTTTTCACTACAAATAGCTTATTTCTATCAAAAATGAATAAGGTTTTTCCCTATTGAAAAGAGTAGGACACATTTCAAAACAATCAAAAGTCTCAATTTTGCCTTCAAAATACCCAGGAGATGTGGTATTTTGCTTTTTTGTTTATGAAAAATTTACATGCCCTCAACATGTTGCCTCACTTCTCATTGTGCCAAATCATGTGCTTTCTGGTGACACACTCCTACCTGGTCACAGCCACAGGTGCTGCTTTACTAGGAAGTCAGGATATTTTCTGTTGGTTGATCCACTCCACCTTTCCCTGGCTATTGTAATGGCAGGGATAATTGTTTGATGGAGCCAGAAGGGCCAACACCAAGGTCCACATTAGCTTATCCACTGAGATGAAAGGGCATTAGATGCCATCCACCTATCTTACTGGGGACAGCACAGACTTCAGGAGTTGCATGTTTCTCCTTCTGATAGTGTCATTTTGATGCTATAAAATATGTATTTCTTTGCTCTAATATTTTATATGTCTCCCTCCATTTTGCCAAAGTTTTTACCAAAGGTATATAAAATAATTTTGTAGCACTTTTACACAGAAGTCCTCAAGCCTAAGTGTAAAAGCAACTCATTTTCCTATATACCAACCTCATTTTTATTTCAAGACCTTGTTCTACAAGAGCATTGACTGTATCTAATTTCCAGGACCTCATGTGGTGCTAAGATACTATGACCCATGTGACGCTTGAATCATCTATCCAAGAGAGAGTCCTCAGAGGCAGAGATTCAAAACAAATGTATGTACAAACTCAGAGCAACACTCCAAAACAAGCTGCTTCTTTAAATGTCAGAAAATTGAACGAATTAACTAACATGTTATTTCATGGCATATACAGGTTAAAACCACATCATACTCCTCATCACACTGGTATTATTGAAAAGGAACTAGATGAGATTAAGAGACTTAACAGATGTAACAAGCAGGATGGTTCTGGGTGAAATCTTATTGGATGCAAAGCAACAATAAAGGACAATTTGAGGACAACTCGGAAATGTGAATATGGGCTGGTTTTAAATGATATTAAAATTTATTTCTTTGCCAGGCACCTGCGGCTCACACCTGTAATCTTAGCTACATGAGAGGCTAAGATCTGGAGGACCCAGTTTGAGGCCAGCCCAGGCAAAATAGTTTGAGAGATCCCATCTCAACAAGTGTTAGCACGTATTTGTCATAACAGTTATAGTGGGAAGCTTAAAACAGGAGGACTGTGGTCCAGGCCAGCCCAGACTGATAACCCAGAGAAAATTATAATGTAACTACATTTCTTATTTTTCACTTTCAGCACTTTTATCATATTTTAAGCCTCAAATATTTGCCTGCTTTCATAGAAATTATTTTCAATAATCTTCTCAGGGAACTAAATTTCTGAACTTTTAACATTAAAGCTAAATTTATAAGAACCAGGAGAAAATTTAACATGATTTCTTAAGGTATGCATGTTTTCTTTTTTGTTATTTTGGGGACATATATTAAATTTACGACAAAATATCATCTTTTGATCCACAGGCCGACTGTAAACTTTCCTGAAAGTGTTACTGTCCTTCTTTTAAAAGTTAAATGACCATCATAATCCATTGTAGAGAAGGATAAATGTCCCTTTCACACTGATTACCATTTCCTATTTCAGAGAAAAGCAGATGAGAGTTGTCTCTTTTCCATGGTTCAGTTACCTGTGGTCAACAAGGTTCTAAAAGTATTAAATGGAAAATTCCAGAAATAAACAATTCATAAGTTTTCAATTGCACATCACTGTGAACAGTATGATGAAATCACTTACTGGCTCCATGCCCTGCCTGGAATAGGAGTCACATCATTGTCTGGCATATCCAGTAGGTACACACTACCACCCATTTAGTCACTCAGTTGCTTTCTTGGTTATCAGATTGACGGTCATGGTATGGTAGCACTTGTTTATGTAACCCTTATTTTACTTAATAATGGCCCCAAAGCACAAAGGTGATGTTGGCAATTTTATTACAGTATATTGCTATAATTGTTTTATTATTAGTCATTATTGTTAATCTCTTGCTATGTCCAATTATTTAAAACTTTAATTACGTATAGGAAAAAAACATAGTGTATCTAGAATTAGGTACTATTTATGGTTTTAGGCATCCCCTGGGGGTCTTGGAACATATATCCTATAGGTAATAGGGACAACTACAAATCAAAGGGCGTCATATACAAAAAACAAAACAAAGCAAAACAAAACAAAACAAAAAGCCAAATTGTCATCTTGAATTTCTGACCTGCAACCAGCCAGGAGAATCTGTCTGTACATTTCTACTGAAGACTTCCCACCAAACTGTCTGCCAGTGAGATAGGTATTATGGGAAGAACTGATGAAGTAGTGAGCCAGAGGGTGGTCCATTTCTTGGTAAAGTTCTAAACGATCTAGGAAGACTGGGGCATTTTCATCTGACATCAGATATCTGCAAAATCCATCACTTGAAATGAGGCCTAGGGGAAAAAGAACATCTTAGTAGCACTTTTAGCTCTGAAAATGCACATCCCATGTTTTATGCAGGCAAACAGACAGCTCCTTATGCTGCTGGGTGTCAGCTTCCTCTTCTGCCAAGTGTGAAAACACTGGCTCTTACCTGCTTTCCAAGATCGTCATGAATAGTAAGAAAATATATATGAGAGAAGCTTTTTAACAAACAGAAGACATATTAATTGTAAATCATAATGGATTGGAGAATGTACTTTAGGGGAAGCTTCCCCTAACATAAACAATTTAAATTTTCTAATTTATCTGAAAGACAAGGTTTGAGGCTGGTGAGAAGAGGACACAGGGGTCATTGCAATGTGAATACAAGAGCTCCTGTTTGTGGCAATCACTCTTTTCTGACATGGGGCAGGGTCCACACGGTAACTGTAGGGCAGACAATTAGTATTTATGCATCTTCTGCCATCCTGTCAGTCATGGTCAACCTCAGCTTTTTGCCTTTTTATTTAAAAAATTGCAGGTTATGAAACAATTTCACATATACGGAAAAATACAAATGATAGTACAATAAACACGCAGGGAATTATACCACAGCATTGTTAGATCCTAACATTTCTCTTTATTTGATTTACATTTTTAAAGGACCACCTAATTACAAATGCCATTGCAGCACTCTATGTGCTCCACCTCAACTGCATTAAATTCCATCTTTCTACTGCCCCAGAGAAACCACTAGTCTAGTTTTAGTGTGTAACAGTCCCCAAATAGTTCTGTGGTTTCACAACATATACTTCTATCTTAACAGATCATTTTTGAAGTTTTAAAAATTTATAGCAGATACCCCACTGTGTGGATTTTATACGTATATATACATACATATAAAAATTATATATCTATCTCTATATATATCTTGTTCAGTTATTTTTTACTGAATGTATTTTACTGAATGTCATTTTATGGATATTTAGATAATTGGTAATTTCAACTGAAAGTATGCAACAGAAGTTTATATACCTTTCTCCTTGGGCACATTCATTCACTTTAATAGCAAGTACTTTTGAGGCACTGGGATGGATATGGTGATGAAAAAACAGACAAGCCCCACCTTCATGAAACTCTCATATTATGAAATATATGAAATAAATTAATTAATTAACAAGTAAAATAAGTGTCATGGAGTGCTAACAGGGCAAAAAAAGCAGGAAGAAAGATAAGAAAGAATGGCAGGATGCTGTGTTAGATATGTAGCTAGTGGAAGCCCTTCTGAGGAGGTGACATACATGCAATGAGAAACAAGCTACATGCATACCTGGGAGTGGGAGGAACTCACTCCTGGAAGAAGAATCAGCAAGTGCAAAGACCATGATGCAGGAATGTGTGTGCAAGTTCATTCACTGACAGCAAGACAGAATGAGCAACAAAGGGGAAAAGTGGCTGGAAATAAGGCTAGAGAGGTGGCCAAAGGTTATATAAGCTGAATTTTAGTTCTCACTGAGTACTTTGGATTTCCTTATAAGTTTGTTGGGAAGCTTTGGGGAGTTTTGGTGAGTGAAATATCACCTTTGGATTTGCTTTTAGGTTTACTCTGGCTGCTTCATGGAGCATAGCATGAGTAGAAAGGAAAAGATGAGTAAGAAGTCAACTGGCAATGCCCAGGGAGAGAGGATGGAGGCTTGCATAGTCTGGAAAGGTGGAGATGGTGAAAAGTGGTTTATTTTGACACTGAATCTTGCAGGTTTTCTTGATGGATCAGATGTGATGTGAAAGAATGGAATAAGTCCAGGATGATTCCAAGGATTTTGACTTAAAAAGTGGAGTGAATAATGGAACCATTTTATAGGCTAAGAGAGAAACACATCTGGGGTTAGTGAAAATCAAAGCATGTTGCAAATATACATTGGAAATCCTATTTTGACATCCAAACAGGCAGTTCTACTATAGGCCTGGAGTTTAAGTTTGAGATTAGGACTGGAGAGTTTAATCTGAAAGTCTTATGCATATAGAAGAGACAAAACCTCTGGCCTGCATGAGTGTCCCCAAGGAGTGGGTATGGATAGAGCAGAGGTCTTAGCACTTACTCTCTACCACCATAATGACATCCATAGTTTGGGAAACATCCAAGAAAGTCTCTGGGGCATATAACTAGAAGTGCAAATGCTGGGATACTTGAGAGGTACATTTTCCATTTTATGAGCTATTGCCCAAATACCACCATGGTTGGACCTATTTACACTCCCACCAGAAGCTCATAAATGCTTTTTATACCACATTCTCACTCACACTAGATGATGACAGATTTTAAAATTTCTACCATTTGTTAAATGGTGAAGCTACACTTTTAGATGGTGTCAATGGTAACTGTGTCAACTTTTAGGACTAGGAAGGACTTTAAAAATAACCAGACACACATCTATCTTACATTTATCACATTGCCAAGGAATTGTTGAGTCACTTGTCTTTCCCTTTGAATGATCGCAACTGCTTTCAAAGCAGGAGATATTTCTTACTGTGTTTTGAATTCTCAGTATCTAGCACAGTGCTTGGAACCCAGCCAGCCCTCCACAAATTTTAAAAAATGACACTGGGCCCTGGGGTTGTAGTTTAGTAGTACAGCATATGCTTAGCCTATGCAAGGCCCTGGGTTTGATTCCCTGCACCCCCCAAAAATGACAGTAAGTACTATTAAATACTGCATGAGCCCCAGTATTTCACAAGCAGGGAAACTGAAGCCCAGGAAGCTATTTCTTTGCTCAAGGTCACATAGCCCCAGCATAGCAAGAAGAACTGTACCAAACTGTACCAGCTTCCACTGCTGCTCTGCCATATGTTTTAATCACATACAATGTAAAACAAATCATGATATTCAGAATATTGATGAACAAGTAAGTACTGAGCATTCTTGCTGAAAATAGGAATCCATGGCTGTAAGTAGAAAGTAAACATGCATGACTCCATGAAAATCCTGCCATGATGTGTAGCTATCAACAGGTTGTATATGAGTTCAGAGAATTTATAAGCCTTTCAGCCACATTCACGGGCAGTTAGTACAAATAAAAAAGAATTCATTCTCAAGAGAAGGAAACCGAGGCTCTGAGATTGACGAGCACATGGGACAGACAAAACCTAAGCCAAGATTTCCTTTCAGTCTCTGCTGGTACACAAGGTCAGTGGCCTTACAATTATAGTAGCTTCATACCTCAACTCTCTGCCAGTGTTCCCCATTGCTGTGGCACTGACCTTCAAACTCTTCTCCATGCTTTTCCTTTGACCAATATTTGGACCAAACACTATTTCCAAAAAAATCCAGAAATGTCAACAATTTGCTAAAGTGATTCCTAACTATTTAATTTCATATCAATTATTTTCATCTCTCCTTCCAGAGGTCAAAAGAGGGTGAGAGGGCTCATCAAATTGTGTTAAATCTATTTGACTTGGTAAAACAGAGAAGGCAGAAAAAAAAAAGATGAAAGAATTTACGAGACAGAAATTCTTTTCAAAGAGTGCAAACAGAGATTATATTTGGCATTTTTACATTTTATGCACTATGTAAAATTGAAGTCTAATATAAAAAAGTACCTGGCGAAATATCACAATAGAGTGTTTAATAGCACAATAAATTTATTAATATACTTCAGGCAATATGGACCAATTTTGATGGAAGGTAAAATTTATACTAACAAGAACAGGGAAAAAAAATCAGTTACTACTCCTTCACTCTAGGGAGCTCCAAAGCATTTAAGATACCATTAAGTAAAAATCCAATGTCTTCAAAAGTTGCAAATTTCCTTTTTTCAAGAAAAAGTTTCTCTTTTCACTTTTATTACCTTTTTTCTTCAAATCTTCATCAGGCTCATACATCTCAATGATCTGCATTGCCCTTTTAACATCATAAAATGGGAATAAAATTTCATTCAGTCGAGGGTCTCGTTGATGCTATGATGAGAAGATAACTCCATTTAGGTCGACATTTCTCGCCCTTGAGGCATTTTACGTTTCTCAATATATAATTTCTAAAACAGGACATATCTAGACTATTATAATTACAAACATCAGATTTTACTGCCTTCCTGTATTTCTCCCTAAAGTACACTTCAAAAAGTCCAAATTTGGTAGTACTTTATTGGTTTCTCTCGCAGAATAAGAAAGAGAGGAAATGTGGGGTTTTTCAAAAATTGAGCAATACACTACAGATATATTGTGCTTTGCTTTCTATTTCCCATACCATAGGTAAGACATTTGCCATAAGTATATAAAAAGTGAGGTCAAAATGTTTTAAAAAATTAAAAATTTAATATTGAAATTAGCTTTAAAAAGTAAAAAAATAGGGTGTTGGGGGTTTAGCTCAGTGGAAGAGCGCTTGCCTGGCAAGTGCAAGGCCCTGAGTTCGGTCCCCAGCACCAAAAAAAAAGTAAAAAAATAAAAATAATTTTATAGAAAGAAATAGATCATATACTAAGTTAAGTGCCAAGAAAACCCCAAAACAATAACAACAAAACTCTAATGTTAGACAAGCAAGCACCATTTCATTTTAATTATATCTTTTTATATCAATAAGAAATTTCTTGGGCATTCTGCAAACTTCATTTATTTTCTTAAGCCCCTGTTTTTCAAAATGAAGTTACTACAATTGTAGTAATGAGAATTAATAAGCACAAGGATATTTATAAGATAGAAACCATATAAAATATGAACTTAAATATTAGTAATTCAGAAGTTTCTTTTTCACTATGAAATTTAACTCACTTTGCCCTGAGACAATTCCTTGGGCAGAGTACATGGGTGAAGATACTTCCTAGAAGCTGCATGCTCCCTGAAGTGATGCTGTCCTGACTTCCTGGGATGGTGAAAAGTCCATTTACTACTTAACTCAGCTACAACTATGTATGTGCATGTGGGTGTGTGCACATGCCTCTGTGTGTGTGTGTGTGTGTGTGTGTGTGTGTATAGGCAGTGGGCCCATTCCTTATTGTTCACTTTGAATGACAGGGCTTCATTGTGTCCCTCCCTTGTCATGCCTCAGAGAAGTAAATAAATAAATAATTAAACTTCCATGGACTAATGGCCAACAAGCAGATGTGAAAAAGACTTGGTCAGTAAATAGGACCATGGCAACAACTCTTTACCCAAATATATACACAGACTTGAAAAAATATTATTGGAAAGGGATTTAAGAAGCAATTGTTAAAAGTTCATCTGGCTTTCCCTTGCCCATTTGTTCTGAGATAATCATCTGAAAAGATGATGAGCATCTCTGGCCAAGGAACACTTGATATCATTTCCTAAAGCACAGGTGGTCCTAGCCTTTTCCAGTCCTCTCCCCACCGCTGATTGAGTTAAGAGTTTTAACTTATAAGGAATCAATATCTTTTTGGCAAGTTATCCCAATGAAGCATGCTTCTGTTGTAATCTAAGAAATCACAGCTCACAACAATTTACATCCATGCATTTGCTGGAGCAGAAACTGCTACATAATAACAGGCCTTAGACCATAAAGAACAAAAGTGATGGGATATGCAGAGAAGGAGAGATTGTGAGGTGAACCATGGAATGTCAGGCAAATGAAGGCATGCTGCACCTTGTTTAGAAAATTGATGCCGTCATGCAACAGAGCCTGCTATTCAAGGGAATCAGGAGCTCCACCCTGGGTGAGAATAAATTGTTTTAAAAGCAAACAAATAAAATCTAAAATCTCTTTCTAGGCACATCCCTTCTCCCATAACCACCATGGAAAAAGATGGATGTGGGATGAAAATGGACCTTCTTAGCGTCCAGTGCAGTTATGGTCATAGTTGGCCACTGTATTTCTCTTCCATATTTGATTTAAAGATATGCTGATTGGTAAGTTGTGTGGACTCATGGAGATGATAGCAAATCCTTATGAATTAAAAAGTGAGTGAAAGAAGGGATTCAGCCATAAGGAAGAGTTAGTGAAAGGAAAAGTGGGAACTCAGGTGTTTCTGCATGTTTTTATATATACACATGTGTGCTAAAACACACACATGTGGATGTGTGGTCTGTGAATGGCACAGCACCATTACTATCTCTGGGAGCGCGTTAGAAATGCAGATTCTCGGAGTTACCGGCTTCCGGGCTCCGCTACACTTCTCTAGCTGTAGCCTTTCCTTTCTCTCTAATAAATCCCACTTTATAAAAAAAAAAAAAAAAAAAAAGAAGAAGAAATGCAGATTCTCAGGCCCTTCCCTAGATATACTGATTCCCTGGGGCAGAACCCAGGAATCTGTCTTTCAATAAGCTTTCTAAGTAATTCTGATGTGCTCAAGTTGAAGAAGCACTGCTCTAACCTGCAAGAGTCTACATTTTAACACATTTGTGTATTTATGAAGAAAAATCCCAAATAAATCCTATAAGGATAGGGCTAATTATTTGAAATGCCCTTTCAATTAAGCCCCATTAAAATACAGTCAGAGGACATAATGTTCACTAGGCCATTTATCAGAAGTGATAGCCAGGAAAATCAGTTCCTGTAACAGATGCATGAATACCCCCAGTCTAAAAATTACATTTGCAGTAAGTAAGCATTAAGTATAGACAATATGAAATTGCACTTGTATTTGCATCTGCTCTGCCAGATAACATGATCTATTGCATTCCCTAAAATGTTCACATTTTCATCTGACTAATATCGAGGCAGGAAACAAAGGGTAAGGTCTGCATTAGAATCATAAAACTATAATTATGATGAGAAAAAAATGAGAAAATCACGTGATCTCAGAGTCTTAGACTACAGAAAAGTTCCACTTAAGACACAGCACAGGGATGTGAATGCTTCTCAGTTCTGAGGGGCCATCAGTTTTCACTTGGATAAACTATGTACCCAGGATATTCATCCCATGATATCCAGTGCTTTATAAAACGAGATTCCAAATACCTTCCAAAAATAGATCACAGAATTGTGCCCAAGTAAACTAGGAGATAATGAGCAGGTCCCCAAAACTGTCCTTACTCTTTCTGAGAAAAGGCATGAGCTAACTTCGATCCAAGTAGCATTGGGAGAGATGGATGTTGATAAAAAAGTACTAGTCAAAAGAAATGAAAAATGGGCAAGGATAAGCTTACTCATAATATGAAAATACCTCCTTCTCTTCCTCTCTTTGTGCCTGTGCATAAAGAATAAAGATATTGTAAAGGAAAGAGAACTTAAATGGTTTTTTTACATACTTCCAACTATAAAAACAGAAAATGAAAAAAATCAGGTCTAATCCTAATGTGATTACATGATCTGCCTGAGGCAGGGGGAGAATAACCAGAAATAATTAGAAAATAAAGCTCATTCCTGATTAATGTGGCCATCTTCTCTTCCTTGTTTTGATTTACCTCTCTTGTACTCTATGCAGCCCTCAATTCTGCAGGCCCTTAGTTGTTACCATCTTTGTAAGAAGTCAAGTAGAAAATGAGGGTGACATTGAAATCAATTTAGCTTCTCATTACGAACAGGGAAAAGAAGGTGAAACTAACTGAAGCCCAAAGATTTTAATTAGTTGCGCCACATAAGCAGCTGAATTGACAGTAGATGTAACCATGTGGCAGCTCCCAACAAGTGCCTCCACTAGTGTTCTACACCCTAGTTTGTAATTTTCATGATTTCGGCAAAGAAAGTTTTCCTCTGTCCATTGGATGGGACCCAGAGACATTGCTGTGGCAATATTATAGATGTGAGTGGTAGATTTCCATGAGTAAATTCTGTATAGAGAACACCAGAGCTTATATGATACTACTCTTATATTTTTCCCACTCACACTAAGCATCTGAAGTAGGAATTCAGTTATTCACTAGACAGTGCTGCACAAACTTTCAAGCACAGACAAATCACAAGGAGATCTTACTAAATGCAGATTCTGACTCAGCAGTTCTGGGTGGGACCTGAGATTCTGCGTTTCTAACAAGCTCCTAGGGGATGTCAATATTGCTGGTCCACAGATCATACTGTGAGAGCACTGACTAAAGAGCAGTGGATGAGAGCTGTAAAGCCACCACTGACAATCTAGTGAGTACTGATGGCATGGACAGGAAAGAGGTGCACAAACACTATAGTCTCTCCTTTCCTTCTACCTCATGGAGGAAAATACATACACTAAACTGAAAAGTCCATATAAAGAATAAAAAATGTATAGTCTGGAAGATGGTGGAAGCCAACTTGACATTTGCTAATACAAAGGGGATTTCTTTCCATTGTCTCTATTCCAGTTGGTCAGGGCTGAGCTGGTGCACAAACATCCACTGCTTTTGCTTTGCTGTAGTTACCTTGCAGAACCACTTATTAATTCAGTTTTTCAGTTGATTGTTTTTGATATCAGGGTAGACCATCAGCATCTGTGAACATGGAGATTAGGGCTTTGTCCTTTTCTCTGTTTCTTACTTTTGTCTTATTGCATAGTCCAGAGCTTCCAGGCAATGGTGAATACTGGCTTGTTGAGACTGTGTTGCTAAGGCATTTTGAAAATGAGGTTTAATCTTTTAGAGTTACAGATCCTTACAACCCAAGGCTTGTTCCTTTCTTGAGAGGGCTCTCTCTGTCTCCTTTATTACAGGTTTTGAAATTGCTCTAAGGAGTGTTTTTGATTTTGGAGAGATTAAGGGGAGAAGGATAGGACTTAAAAGAGGGCATGCAAGAAGCTGGCAGAACACTCCTTGGGCTTGACAATTTCATCAAGGAGCCTCTCATATTTTTGCCTAGTCTTTCCTGTTTAGTCCACTAGAGCAGAAAAGGAAGAGAATTAGGGCAGACACTTTGACTGAAAATAAAGGCTATATACTTTCCCAGACTGTCTTATGGGCTGTATGACCTAAGGAAATCTAGAATCACACTGATTCCATCAGTCCCACCCAAAAAATTCAAGGTATTGCCTTAGTGTTAAGGACAAGAAAAATAGAAGAAAACATTTAAAAAAATACAATTATCCACTATAACTAATAGTGATAGATAGAAGCTTGCCTAATACTAAAGAATATGGATGTCAGAACAACAAAGTATGGTGGATCATAGTTTCTTCAAATTAAATCCTTAAAATTGTAAATACAAGCTCGAAAGTTTCCAAAACAAAAGTTCAAAAATCTTATAGGAATTACAAGAATGATTATTGGGTAGACCAACAAAAACAATCCATAAGAGGAAATGCATTAGATAAGAGCCCGTGAAAGGGGCCTCTCTCCTCAGGATTCAGAACTGTTTCTGCATTCAAACAGTGAGATGCAGTATAAAGGTCTCTGTTTAATAGATGGCTGGGTGCCAGTTTCATCCCAACACGCATAAGAGGTCTTATTTTAGGAAGTGATGAATTGACGATATGGCAGATTTTTTTCCTCTCTACTGAACTATCTTCCCTCTTTAGTTGGAAACTGGATTCCTGCCCATCTCACAAAGTTTAAGATGATCAATGAACCAAAGCGCATGAAGCAGCTAAGGGAAATAAAGCAAAAGAAATAAACAACAAAAGGAGGAAGTTGTGGGGGGGGCACAGAAAGAAATAAAGCAAGGCATTTTAACTTCTGAGCAATTGTGGCATAAGAATGTGGATAATATCTGGGTAAAGATTATGAACGCGGTCGGTATTCGCATGACTAAAATCTAGTGAAGTGGAAAAACTTGAAATGTTTTCAAGTAAAATAAATATTGTATTGTACTGAGAGGATTATTAAAAAATGGAGGCATCTGTGTGGATATGGAGTCCTGCTTTTTTTTGCATCAGTGCATCTAGACTTTGGCTTAGCAGTTTCTAAAGTGTAATTCTATAACTTGGAAGCCACTGAACCCTCACAAGGAATGAAAAGAGAAGACCCATGCAACTATGTGGTGTGTTTCAACAAAGTGGCAAATCATAGACTGCCTGTTCTCTTTTTTAAGGACAATACCACATATCTGGCACAATGTTACCTTTCTTCTTTATTTTTATGCTGGGAGTTGAGTATGGAGCCTTATACATACTACACATGTCTTTTATCAGTAAGTAATACCTCTCAGCCCCTTCCATTGTCTTTTTTTTTTTTTTTTTT